TGGGTTTTGGCCCGAATTAAGCTTAATTTAGGCCAAATTTCGTAATTTCACCCCTGGGCGTTATTTCGAGAATTTACTCGTCGTGCAAGGTATCGAATATAATTTGATCCTTGTATGTAAAATAAAATAATTTTGTCCACCAATTCTTTACTATATCTACTGTATATCATTGCTACAAGATCTAGTTAAGTATTCTGGAAATTGATAATATATACCACCTATTATCTCGAATAGGAGACAAGAATATGGTTTCATAAGCAAAATTTGAATAAAAAAATGGTTTTTTCCTCATTACCCAATTCGATCAGTCAACATAAATTTTATGCTGCTATGAATTTTTTTACAATATCATTGTCATATTTGTAGACTAGGCGAGTGCAATCTTAAAATTATTGATTATATATATCTGAAATAAACTTTTGGAAAAAAAAATTATGACTATTTTAATGATGTTTTACTGATGTTTACCCATTTATAACACAGATATCTTCAAAATACATGTAGCATATATAATTTCTTCATAGAAGCCAAATCAAATATAATAATTATTGATATAATAAAAAGATGATGTACAATTCCGTTCAATTATCACTAAAAGATCATAATGAATATGTATTAAATAATATCAATTCTTGTTGGAATCTTTCTATCGATTATTAACAACCAACTCGAGAAACTATGAATAAAAAAAAGTGAATATTAGCATCGATGATCTTAAAGAAAAAACCTTGAATGTAATAATTAAATATTTGTTAAAATACCTGCTCATAATTGATCATAATCCAGCCGTCACTATCTGTATCATAACGTCTGAAAGCATCTGTAAGAGTCTTGACAGTCACACAAGATTGCTGAGTAATTAATTGTTAATGAAACATTTAGTTAGATTCTCAAAAAAAAAAAGATCTTTCAAAATTGAAGAATGAATTATACATACCACGAAATTGTCAAATGTTACATCTCCTTTTCCTAATTTATTTTTGGTACCCCCTTTATATCAGCCACACAATGTTTTTTAATAAGATCCAGGAACACATATGTATTCCTTTATAAAACATAACATCAAACAGATAAAATTTCACTTACCGTATTTGTCATACTTTTTAATTAGTAGGTTGACGAAATTGTCACTTAAATTGTATCCAAATGTTTTCAATGCTGTTTTAAGTTCTTGGAAGTTCACGGTGCCTGATCTATCCGCATCAAAAGTTTGGAAACACTTTTTCCAATCTTCAATATATCGCCAAAGTCCAGCAAATTCATTAAAGTTAATCGTTCCAGTATTATCTGGCAGAATTAATTCAATATCAATTATCATTAACTGTTAATTCAACTTTTTTTATTCTTGTACAATATAGATATTTCAAACATACCAGTATCAAACATATTCATCATTAATCGGACTGTTTCAATGTTAAATGGACTCCAATCGCCTAAATAAACAAAAAAATTCCATATTGATTTGTATTTATGCATCTTGAATACATTCAAATATATATGTGCATACCATTAATCAAAGCCTTTTGTAATTCTGCAGCAGTCAAAGTTCCACTATTGTCAGTGTCTACAGCTTTGAACCAAAAAAATAATTGAGGGTCGGCACCAGGTGGAGGTTGTTGATTACCGCCACTTGCTGGAGGAGGTGGGTCTAAATAAAATATCATAAATATATACTCCAAGATATTTCATGTAGTCACTTATTATAAGACAAAATACAAACTTTGGTGAAAGGAGGTGCTATACTGCTGCTGTTGACCATAGGGCTGTTGAGGTGTCCCATAATTTGGTGGTGGTCCTTGGTTTTGATTGTAATTATAAGACATACTTCTTATCAAGTGGAAATTTTCAATTCAAAGTTGAATTGCGTATTTTTTTTGTGAATCCTTTTCTAAATAAATATTGTTGTACAGTCCACATTGACCTTATTCTTTTTATGCCAAATAAAGTGATGAATCTTACCTTTTTTTATCGTTACATTAACCGTTGCGTAAATTTGATGTCACCCGTGATATTATCAAGGCGAACTAAGGGTCAGTTAAAAGCAGTGCGAATTTTCATTTTATTATCATTAGCGTTAGCAGTAGGCAAAATTACTTCTCAACATTTCTGATTAATGGGCTCGAATGGTCAATGGTCGTTTCTTTTCGTTTCTTGTATCGGTTTTTTTTTTTTTTTTGAATTAATAAATTTGTAGCCACGTTACTGTAACCGTAACTAAGATCAGGTGTAACGTGAAATCAAAACAAAAACTTTTCTTTTAAAAAATCATTAATAACTCAAAATTTTGACTATAAACCCATCTTTTACGTTCTAACAAAAAAAATTCCTTGCTAAATTTTGATATAATTAAGGCCTTCCCTAACCCAAGCCTTACCTTAACTCTAACCTTAACTGTGAAGTTTTATTTTTATAAAAAAATTTGTTTTGATAGTTACAAATTCAATTTTTTTTTTTGTTTTACCTCGTGGGCTAATTCTGTAATTTGGGTTGATCCAAATTACACAACTTGATCTAGATTTCCAGAAATTTCCAATAATTATCAACAGTTATACGACACATGTTTTTTTGATATCGATATCATTTATATACCTCGTTATAGTTACTCTAACTATAATCACAACCTGTTTAAAATCACATTATTTTTAGTTAACCAGCCAACTACCCCAGGAAGGCCCCCGCATAATTATAATAGGTTATATTTGGGTATCTTAGTAATTTTTTTTATTAGCATTTTTATATTAGTATATATTAGCTTTATTTCAAATATCAGATCATAATATTTGATATTGTTATATTTTTTTAAAATATATGCTTACTTATCAACAAAATATTAGTTCAAAAAAAAATTGCAATTTTTTAAAAAAAAAAAAAAAAAAATCAGATTTATATTATTTTTAAATTTTACTTTTTTATAATTTAGCAGTTCTGCCACTTTTTATTTGAGATTACACTACACTAAAAAATTTACATTTTCTAATAATAGCTATTCTAATCTAGCCAAAAAGTAATTTATCTACGCTTTCATCAGATATGACTTGCTTTGGTGAACTTCAAGCCTTACTTTGGTCTCTAACTTATTAGAGGTTATCTTTTGGTCATGGGCTGGTGTCATACACATATCTAAATTAATTTTCTTTTAACAAAATGAAATACAAATGCAAAAAAAAAGATAAAACAAAAATAAGAAAATATTATAGTATCAAAATCTGGTTTACCTAAAACAATAAAACCAAATAATGAAAAAAGAAAAAATAAAAAAAAGAA